GCATTCTCCTCCTTAGGCCCACACATTCAGTCATTTATTAATTCATTTATTCAACAGATGTATTGATATATAAAATATGTAAAAAATATATTGAGCACGAGATATACTCTAGGTACTGTTTTGCATATGGGAATTCATCAGTGAAATGACCTATAAGGTCCTTGCCACATAAATTCACACTTCAGTGAGAGAAGTTAGAATCAGCAAGAGGGCCAGTGGTGGGGTGGGGAACTCTGGAAATCCCTTATACTTTAGGGCAAGTGGAGAAGCAGAATCCAGAAAACATTATAGAGAAAGAAGTGAAACTAGGAGACATGGGTTTCATGAAATTTAAAGGAAGAGAGTCAGGGAAGGAAAGGAGCCAAATAATTTTGGATTTTTTAGAAAATTCAAATAAGAAGAAAGGAATAAACCTTGGGTTTGATAGCAATGACTTCATGGTTGACCTTGATGAGAGCAGAATGTAGTGAGTAAGAAATGAAGAAGTGGAGGTGAGGATATGAAAGCAATGAATCATGGCTCCGAATGGAAAGACAGAGCTTAGGGGAAGGAACCAGAGGAAGAGAGACTATGAAGATACAAGATAAAGCAAAGCAAAGCAGACAAGAGGAGTTAACAGATGGGGCCAGAGAGACAAGAAGAAGCTGGGACAGGAGGAATCTTTGAGATAAGAAACAAGGATGACCTTGAAGGTTTAGTGATCAGAAGTTGTTTAGAGAATTCAAGCCTAGGCCCATTTTACATTCTCAGTGAAACTGGAGGTGAAGTCATCTGCTAAGAGTTTGGGAGTAGTGTTGGCCACTTGACTAGAATAAGTGAGTTTGAAACAGCCATATTGGGCAAGTGGAAGGGAAGATGATTAAGGATGAGAGAAAAGACTGTTAAACTGTGCTAGGACCCAAATGAAGTCTGAAAACTCCCAGAGCTAGAAGTAACTCCAGCTTTCTAATCCAGAAAACCCCAGACTGTATATGCTATTGCATCAGACATCTATGGCCAAGGTTATCTACATATATCCCACAGGCTGACTAAGGGGCACCAGAAGCTGATCTTGTTTTCAGGGACATCCCTGGTGCTTCAGCCTCTGTTTCTTCTCCCTGCTTCCAGTCTTCAGAGGACCTGTAAGGGACCCATTCTGTCTGGATAACCACAAGGCTCTCCCATGAGAGGTCACTTTGCCTGTGCTTGACCCTAGAATTAGAGGCTATTCAGGTTTCTCTGAGATAAAGTCAAGGCCAATATTCTCCTGAGTGACCCTAGGTAACTTCTGAGAAAGAGCTGAGGGATGGCACCAGGGAGCTCCGAATCTCTGAACCCCAAAAGAGCCTCTCTGGCCACAAAAATAGTCAGGGTAGAGTCTGGTCCTGTCTATGCTGCTGTCAGTTTAGGCTGGTTCCAGCAGTGAAATGTAGTTGAGAAACCCTTCACCTCGGGAGTACTCAGTTGGGTTCATGAAGTACCTCTTGTCCCTCATAAGAGGAGTGGCTGGGAAGAGCCCTCAAGAATAAGCTGACCCAACCTCAGTTCTGCTGCCCAAGAACATGGAGCCAGAGTGACTCTCCTATAGACAGTGAGCTGAGAGCCTTAACCCTACCCACCGCCACACTGCACCTCAGGTCCTTGGGGCTAGTGCTGAGGAAAACTCACCTACCTAGTGGAGTCTAAAAGGTCTAGGCAATTCCATCAGCTTATAGTATTTAGGGTTTTCAGGAAAGTCCTCTTTGATAGGGTGACATTTGAGCAGAGGTCTGGAGGAAGTGAGGGAAGGAAAACATGCATATGTCTCAGGGAAGAGTTGTCCAGGCTGAAGGAACAGCAAGAGTCTGGAATATACTTTGAGTGTTGGAAGAAATAGTAAGGAGACCAATAGGGCTGGGTATGGTGGTCAAAAGGAGTGGTAGGAAATGAGATCAGAAATATATGGGCAGGCTGGCGGGGGTGGGATGGAGCATGATAGATTTCAGACTATTATAGACTATAATTAAGGACTTTGGCTTTTACTCTGAATAAGAAGGCAGGCAGTAGGATGGTTTGGACAGACTTAGACTGATGTCTGGCTGCCATGCCGAGAATTGACTGATGTGGGGTAAGAACAAGAGCAAAGAAACCTGTTGGAAGCTATGGTAATAATTCAGGTGAAAGGTAATGATGGCTTGCACTAGAGTAGTTGCAGTGAAGGTGCTGAGAAGTGGCAGGATTCAGAGTATATCTTGGAGGCAGGCTGATCAGATGTGCTGATGGATTGGATGTGAGATGTGAGAAAAAAAGGAGGCGAGCATGATTTCAATGTTTTTGGCCTCATGGATTATTGTGAGAATGAAATGAATTAATCCATATAAAACATTTGGAACTGTGCCTGGTAAGTGCTCAGTGAGGGTCAGCTATTATTATGATATTATTGGACGAGCTATGGTAGAGGGCAGTAGCTTCATATTTGCAGCTCATAGTCATTTTCCAAATAATCAGGCAACAGCTTGTGGACTCTGAGATTTCCCTGGTACCTCTAGCTCAAGTTTCCTCTTATACTTCCAGGCAGAATCATGGAGTACAAGGAGCCTCTTCATCTATAAAATGGGGATAATAATTCCTACCATATAGGACTGTTGTAAGCTATGAAGGGACATGTTTGCATGATTTACAGATGCTCGGTAAATGTTGTTCCTGCCCACTTTCAAGACCCTTTCTACTGAAAGTATGGTCTGTGGCCCAGCAGCATCAGTATCACCTGAAAACTTTGTTAGAGTCTTGGCTTCACACCAGAGTTATCAAATCAGAGTGTATGTTTTAACAGGATCCCTAGGTGATTTGTGTGCACATTAATGCGTGAGAAGTATTGCTCTAGAGTTTTGAGGTCATCTAATCCAACAACCTCTTCAGGTTGCAGATGCAGAAAGGAAGGCTAAGAGACAGGAAGAGACTTAGCTGACTTTACACATGGAGTTAATTTTGCCAAGACTCCTAAATCCCAAGCTAGGGTTCTTTCTACTACACTAGAGTTTCAGGACTGTCTGTAACCCAGCCTCTCTGGGAGGCACAGGATAAAGGAAGTGCAGAGGGCCCCTCATCTAGGAAAGGACAGGGCAGAATTAAGAGATACATAGGGTAGCTATTTTTATTTTAATCTCACAGATGATGTTAAAGGGCCCTAAAGTACATTTATTTATTTTATTTAATAAAAAATTGTATGCTACTTACTATGTCCCAGAAAGTATTCTAAGCTCCTATACATATTAACATTATTTTGTATATTAATTCATGTAATCCTCAAAATAATCCTATGAGGATGGGATTATTATTGTCCCCATTTTACAGAAGAGAACACTGAACCGCAGAGTGGTTAAGTAACTTGCCGCAGGACACACAGCTAGTAAGGGGCAGACCTGGGATTCCAACTCAGGCAGTTTTCCCTCCTTTTAGGCCTTAGCTAATAGTAGCAGTCAAAGTGGCTACATTGTGGTCTAACCAGGGGACAGATATGGGGTTCATTAGGACCTTTTCAGTGTCACCTCAAGTTCCTATTCAGCCCTTTTCCACCAAAGGTTTTACAGCCCCTGTACTGAGACCTCACTCCAAATTCCTGGCATATAGCCTCTGCCGGGTCCAAGAGAGGCCCCTCAGAGTCTGATAATGGCACATTGCTTGGTCTCCTCCGTCATACCTTGGCTCAAGCTTTTCTCTCTATACATACATAATGCTATTTGCTCTTCCTCCTTTTTTTAACCCTCCCAATCTATTGAAGAGCATTTGCCTTTTCTGGCTGTATACTGTCTTTCTTTTTTGCTCCTCCTTCCTGTCCCACATTGCTCTTGTAGCATGTACCTCATAGTTTGGCCCTTGGATCTAGACTGTGTGTGTTATCTAACTGTGCCCTGTCTGTCTTATCTCCCCAGCTCCTCTGCATGTTCTTCAAGGTCAGGGACTAGTAACGTTTCAGGACTTCCCCACTGTTGCCTCTGAAATCATAGGTTCATAAACTCCCAAAGTGTCACTACTGGAAGGGTCCTTAGAGACTAGGTAGTCCAATCCCCTCCTTGCACAGTTAGACACTTGGGGGCTCAGAGATGGTGAGGGGCTGGCTCAAGGTCAGAGCCAAGTACGGAATCCAGTTTTCCTTTATTTTTCGTGATCTTTTCCCCACATCATGTCTCCTCTCCTCCTCCTATCAAAAGCCGACCACAGGCCGGGCGCGGTGGCTCACGCCTGTAATCCTAGCTCTCTGGGAGGCCGAGGCGGGCGGATTGTTTGAGCTCAGGAGTTCGAGACCAGCCTGAGCAAGAGCGAGACCCCGCCTCTACTAAAATTAGAAGGAAATTAATCGGCCAACTAAAAAAATATAGAAAAAATTAGCCAGGCATGGTGGCGCATGCCTGTAGTCCCAGCTACTTGGGAGGCTGAGGCAGTAGGATCGCTTGAGCCCAAGAGTTTGAGGTTGCTGTGAGCTAGGATGACGCCACGGCAGTCTAGCCAGGGGAACACAGCGAGACTCTGTCTCAAAAAAAAAAAAAAAAAGCCGACCACCCTTCTGAATGAAGGAGTATAAAAACAAACAAACAACAAAAAAGAGACAGGGCCAGAGCTGGAAAGTGGCTTCTCCATGTGTCTGAAAATCCTTACTTTTCCAACCCTAATTTTCCCTGCCAAACTTCAGGCTTGCTAACGCATGCACAAAACTTTGATCAGCTGAACTGCATTCAGCTGTGAGTCACAAGACACGGAATCCGCACAGTGCTTTCGACCACTTGACCCTCCCTCTGTTCCCACAAACTGGGCTGGCTCAGAACCCTCTCTTCCCCGCTTCAGTCCCCAGAGCTTTGCAGCTCCTGCCATACCAGTGGCTTGGTCACAGTTTACTCTCCAGCCTCACAGTGTCGCTCTCAGAGGCGGGATTTGTTTGCATAGCTACGCCTAGAAACTCAAGTAGTCCAATAGCTGCTGCAGAAGCCTCGAGGGGGCGGGGGAAGTAGGAGTTGCATGAAAGGAATAGAGGGTGGGTTTAGGCTGTTGTTGCTACATGTGGATGTGAAATGAGTAGAGCGCGACTTTGATTGCTACGCATTTTATCTGCTGTGAGTGTGGTATGCTGGCTGGGGACTGAGAGCGTGGGGGAGGGCGCTGAGGGGCTGGGTGGCCTGTCTGCTCTGCGCTGAGGTGTGTTTGCCTGGGAATCCTGTTGTTGAGACGCGATCCGTCCATTCATCCGCTACAAGGTAAGTGTGGGAACACCCCATGGCATGGCGAGGCGGCTGGGACCTTCCACCTCGGGGTGGAAGTACAGGATCAGGTCAGCATAACCCTGCTAGGGTGCTGCAAAGTCAGAATGGCTGGAAAGGCGCCCCTGGACATCTGTGGGTCCATCCATTTCTGCCTGGAGAGTACTGTCTGAGGTGCCAGGGACCAAAGCTGATATTCCCCAGGGTCTTGGCAAGCCAGTTCCTGCCCGTGTAGGCTATTACTGGACCAGGATGGCCTCTGGGAACATGCCCAGACATGTCCATCCACCTTGAGTCTCTGGGTTTGGGAGATAAGCAAGAGAAGGAGGCTGGAAATTGGGGGAGGAGAGTAGGGAGTGGATCAGACATGTGGAGCATCCAGCTGGAAACAGAACTGCTGGCCCACCCACGTGGCTCCTGGGCAAGTCAGGGCTTGTGTAAAGAGCACGCTGGCTCTGTTTGGGGGCCTCCAGTCTACTCCCTCACCCGCCAGGCTGGGTTTCACTTGATCCCTCACTCCTGGAAGCTGAGCCCAGGGCAGTGATATTTTGATCCTGCCTTACCCCAAACACTGGCCAAGGCCCAGGCAGCTGCGAGAACTGGGGGACAAGAAGAGACCCGCCAGAGCCGGCTGGGAAAATAGAGACTGCAAGGTCTGATTTGGACAGGTGTTGGCAGTACTGGCCAATGTCATGCAGGGTGGCTGGGGTAGGACAGTGTGGAACATCTCCCCTAGGTAGCTCCCCTGTCGCCTCTCCTCCCTAACATACCTTCCATTCAACTTGACTCACTGACCACCTACTGTGTGCTACTATGAGTGGGACAGTGAGATGCTTAAGACATAGCCTGTCCCCACTGAGGCTTGACAGACTCACCATGGGTATAAGAATACCAATAAATATAACACGAGATAGGTTTATAAAGGTTCAATCAAAATGCTCTGAGGTTGTTAAGGATTATATCAAGTTGAGCCAGACGAAGTCAGAAAAGGTTTTTTGATTGTTCTTTGAAATTGTAACCGTTCAGGGCTCCAGAGCCAGACTACTTGAATTCAGATCCCATCCCCACCGTTTATTAACTTGTCTGCCCTTGGACAAGTAGAATTACTTCCCCCTCTCTCGGCTTCCATTAACTACAGGCTAACGTGGAGATAATAATAGCACCTTCCTCATCGGGCTGTTGTGAGGATTCAATGAGATAATCCATATAAAATACTTGCACACACTTAGCACAGTGGCTGACCCAAAATAAGCACTCAATAAATGTTAACTATTATTATTTAAGCTAGACCATGGAGCACAGATAGGATTTCAACAGGTGGAGATAGGAGAGAAAGCATTTTAAGCAGAGAAAACAACAGGAACAACTGCTTGAAGGCAGGGAAGCTCAGGGTGTGAGAAAAGAACACCAGCTGAGCTGGATTTTAGAGCATCATTAGAGGAAAAGTGGAAGTTAAAGTTACCATGGTAGATTGGTGGTAAACCGCAAAAGATTTGGATGCTAGTGTCTCTCTTTGATTCGGAAAGCGCTTGAAAGTTCCTCAGCCAGAGAAAACATCAGATCTATACTTTAGAAAGAATAATCTGGCAATCATGAGTCAGCCGGATTGGAATATGGACACACAAGTGGTGGAGAAACTAGATGTACAGAGGGGAGAAGGTGTTAGACTGAGGCCGTGGCTGTGGGAATAGAAAGGAGGCGATGAATTTAACAAGGCATAACAAAAGTTGAATAATACAGAACTTTGAAGCTGGTAAATTATATTAGATTGAAAAAGGAGGAATGAGAGAATCAGAATCTCTAGGGATTGGCTTAGACCTTAAAAGGTTGTGCATTCCCATCCTCCTTCTGAAAATGATGCAATAGAAAGGGTATTTGCCTTTTGAGTTGGACACGGCTATTTTCTCAAGTCCTGGGTCTGCTACTTAACCTGTTGTTTGTGATCCTAAGCACATTATGCTCCTAAAATTCCCAAGTAGGATCAGTATTTCCACAGGATATTTAGAAATATGTGTGGAGGATATGGTGTATTTTTTTACACAAGGATTGAGGTACTACTACATTTAGTGCCACCAGTTTGATGCAGCAAAGAAATGTTCCTCCCACCCACCTATATAATACCAGTAGTAAGCCCAGTGAGAAATATTGAACTTTGAGCCTCAGTTTCCTACCCTGGAAAAGAGGGAGAATAGTACCTGCATTATAGTGTTGTTGGGAGGATTAAAAGACATAGTTCCTGCAAAGGATCTAGCACACTGACTGATGCATAGTAGTACATCATGAATCATAATTTTATTTTACCCCAATTGACTTCACCTTAAAACATCCTTGCTAGTCTCTGCCTGAACACTTCTAGAGGGAGGATCCTTACTGTTCTCTGAAAGAGTTTATTCCTTTCAGGGAAAGCCTTGACTGTTATAAGTTCTTCCTTTTGTTAAGCTGAACTTACTTTCCCTATAGTTTTCACCCAGATGTCCTAGTTATTCTCCCTGGAGCCACCCAGAACAATCTGTTCTGTTTCTTCTGTTATAGTCCTTCAGAGATCTGAAGACCAGAGACCAGATTCCCCTACATCTTCTGTTCCCAGGTCAAAGAGCTCAGCTACTTCTACCATGCCTCGTATGGCATGGTGTCAAGGCAAATATAACTCTGAGGTTTTGAGCTATACAAATTGGGGTGATGGGGGTGCCTTCATAGTGACGAGGAACACTGCAAAAGGAACAGCATGGGTAAATGTGACAAATTTCTTTTTTTTTGTGACAAATTTCTTTGTAATTTATTATTTCTTTATCATTTTTCCCACTGTGTGCCGAGTATTTTCAAACCTATTATCTGAATCACTATTCACCTGACTAGGGAATGTGCAGATCTTCTTGTTTTAATTGTACAGCTGGCCAAAGAGGCCAAGAGAAAATGAAACTTTCTAGAGATTGTTTAGTAAATAAGTGTCTGAGCCAGAATTGGAAGCCAGATTTTTCTTACTCTAAGTTCAGTGTGTTTTTTTCTATTTCCGTGGCTTTTGGGGTTTAAGGTGATAGCTGGGCAATTAGGCCAACTCTGGCACTAGGAAAGGAGACGAGAGAAAGATGGATCCTTCAGTTACCTTATTGAAGTTATTCCTTCTTTGAAAGAATTCCTCTCTTCAGATGTCTTTTAGTTGTTTTGTTTTGGGACAGGGTCTCTCTCTGTTGCCCAGACAGCTGCACAGTGGCATCATCATAGCTCACTGCAACCTCAGACTACTGGGTTCAAATGATCTTCCTGCCTCAGTCCCCCCTGTAGCTGGGACTACAGGTGTGCTCCACAACGCCTGGCTAATTTTTATTTTTCGTAGAGATGGGGTCTTGCTATGTTGTTCAGGCTTGTCTCAAACTCTTGGCCTCAAGCGATCCTCCCACCTCAGCCTCCCAAAGTGCTAGGATTACAGGTGTGAGCCATGTCCAGCCTTAAATGTCTTCTTGACCTGCTCCAGTCGAATGCCTCCTGCAGAGTGTGAGGCATCTTTTAGAACCATTCCTCAGAGCTTGATATTGAAGCAGAAGCTGTTTTTCTCTGCTTTCTTTCTGGAGACTGGCTTCATCTATGTATTTCACCCCTGGGAGCTTAACAGGAGGGATGTAGGTAAGTTTCACTATCAGTGTGTCAGTGTATAAAATGGAAGGACTATTACTATTACCTGTACTAATAGGAGATATGAGGATGGCTGTAGCCTTACCTTGGATTAGCGTTAACTGTATAGATTTTCTGTATCCCCCACCAGACCATGATCCCCTAAAGGTAGAGAACATATTTTATTCACCTCTGGTTTTCCTTCTTGCCATTAAGTCCTAACAGAATGCCTAGCATAGAAGGTTCTTGTCAAGTGGTTTTGGAGTGACCAAAAATTCATCTTTCCCATCCTGGGGCGATGACAGTTATGATATCCCCCCAGGTATCCCCAAATGCATCATGCCATTATCAAAGATAAAGGAATTAGCATGCAATATATGGTGAAATCCAACAGTGACATGTCATTACTTCGAGGAGGTTGTTAGTCACTATCATGCATAGACCAAAAAGAATGAGGAACACTATTTTCCTTCCATGAGCCATCTCTCCCTGACTCAGCCCACTCTTTGGAATTATTTCTGGTGAGGGTAAAATGAGCCAATATTGGGCTGTGGGAGTTAGGAAAAAAGAAGCTAGAGGCTTGGTAATATAGTCACTGAGTAATCAGTCCTATATGGAAAATAGGCCACTGAGCCCTGAATATGGAGACTTGAATTCTAGTCCAAGCTCTGCCACTGAACAACTACGTGAACTTGGAAAAATTTTATCCCTTCTCTGAGCCTCAATTTCCTCATCTGGACCATTAGGGAATGGGGTTATGTTGTCTTAAAGAATCCTTTTGGGATTCTATGATGGGATTCAATTATCTGATGGTTTAAGGTCTTAACCAGTTGCCAAAGAGGAGAAGAAAATAAACTGTAATGGAATGTGCTGTCTTGTGAGTACTGAGGTGCCTGTTACTAAAGGAGTTCAAGTAGAGCTGGATGGTATTTCTTTACTGGGCAACAGGCAGCTGAGACTGAGATGAGTTTTAAACTCCCTTTTGACTCTAAGATTGTCAGAGTCTGAAAATGGTCTCACAAAGTATGCATTACATATGACATCATAGGCTTCTTGTTATCAGTTACACCTTCCCTCCACAACCCTAAAAAGGCCTATACCTTTCTTCCTTTTGTTGGGCATCCTCAAAAAAGAAAGGCAAGAAATATTTTGGCAGCAGTATCTCATCCTTTATATATAGGCCTTATTCTATGGGCTGATTCTTTCAGTCCTTTTGTAAGGATATAGCCCTGGGCTGTGCTTGCAAA